TGAGGTTTGCTTTATGGTAAATTTTGTAATGATTTCGTTAATTCAGTACCGTAGAACATTGCGGATCAATTGTGTTTTTACTTCGGGATTCGTATCGGTTCGGCTATGCGTCACTCAAGTGCGAATTGGTTGACGTTCAGAGGGCATGGCAACCACTTTGGTTCACTTGGTGAAGTAATCTACCATTACCGGTTTGTAGCGGTTTCCCCCAGGTGTTTCTGGTAATGGTCCGTTGGGATATTTCTCCACGATCTCATTGGGGTATCCGGAGACAATTGGCCGGAAGGGGTGCCGGTTATATGCTCTCGGCGGTTTCGTTCGGACGCATTCTATGCAGCGGGTGCAGAAGTTGATCATGTCACGTCTTCGGTGAGGCCACCAGAATTGCTGGGACACTGCGTGATCCCTCTTATATTGTCCCGGGTGGCCCAATTGCTGGTGTGGTTGTCCTAAAACCTGTTGCACTTGTGACTGTGGTACGACAACTCATGGTTCGAAGTGATCTCCATGCCGATAGCACAGGATCACATTCAAAAGTTTTAATCGTGGCCATGCACCCATAGACAGTGGCCTTTCCAACTGATCCCCGCCATTTCCCTCTTGGTCGGTTTGATACCTCCTGCCGCAATGCGGTGATAAATCAGGTGGATCTCGGGATCAGTTTGTTGAATGCGCGCCCAATCCTGTTTATCCTTCCCAAAAATGACTGCTGACACAACACACGTCGGGCACTCGCCGTGATTATGTCTGCGCCGAGAGAGTGCTTCTGCGTTCAGGTGTTTCTTTCCTGGTCGGTATTGACAGTCGAAGTTGAATTACTGTAGCTGTTCTTACCATTTGGCAACCTGACCCTCTGGTTCTCTGAAGTTCTGGAGCCATCGCAGAGACTGATGGTCTGTCCGAATGAGAAAATTCTTTCCCAAGAGATAGTGTCTGAAATGTTTGACGTACGTCACTAGAGCCAACATTTCCTTGCGAGTTGTGCAGTAGTTCCTTTCGGGCTTGCTTAGACAGCGGCTGGCATAGGGAATCACTTTTTCATTCCCATTGTGGCACCGCTGCGACAAAACAGCGCCGATTCCCGTGTCGCTAGCATCCATGTACAAAATAAATTCGCCGCTCATCTCGGTTACATCAGGAAACCTCAGGATGGGCAAGACGTCAGTCGCCCTCGCAAATCCTCGAACGCCTTTTTGCACTCCGGACTCCACTGGAACTTTCGGTTTTTCTCGGTCAGACGATGTAGAGGAAAAGCAATTTGTGCGAAATCTTTCAAGAATTGACGATAGTAGGATGTTAAACCAAGGAACCGTCGGACGTCGGACACCGAGGTTGGCTCTGGCCAGGTTTCTATCGCTCGTATTTTCTCTGGAGCGCTTTTTATAACCGCCTCGCTTATGATATAGCCCAGGTGGTTAAGTTCCTTCTTCAACAACTCACACTTTTCTGGCTTCAGCTTCAACCCGGCCGTTTGTACCGCAGTGATAACTTGTTCCAGGTTCGACAAGTGTTCGTCTAGGGTCCTTCCATGCACTACGATATCGTCCAGATACACCAAGCATTTTGACGGTATGAGGTCTAACAGTATCATACCCATTAGTCTCCAGAATGTAGCGGGAGCGTTTGCGAGTCCAAAGGGCATGGTCTGGAACTCAAAGATTCCGTTCGGTATACAGAAAGCTGTCTTCTCCCGGTCCGCTGAATCGACTTCCACCTGCCAGTATCCAGATGCCAAGTCTAGCGTACTGAAATACCTGGCGCCACCCAGTGACTCAATCGTCGATCCTCGGTAGGGGGAAGCTATCCTTGTTGGCTACTTGGTTCAGCCGGCGGTAATCAACGCAGAGACGTAAGGCTCCATTCTTTTTTAACTAGCCCAATTGGCGAGGCCCAGGGGGACTGGGAAGGTTTGACCACTCCCTCGCGCAGCATGTCCGTGATGATCTTTCGTAGTTCCTCACGCGATTGTACCGGGACCCGTCGTGGCGCTTGGCGTATCGGTGGCGCTCCTTGGGTATCGATTCGATGTTTGAAGAGATTCGATCTCCCTAGTCGGGTGCCGTCCCACGCGAAAACATCCCAAAATCGATTAATGAGTCTTTTTACGAACAGCCGATACGCGGAGTCTGTTCGTCCAAGGAGTTGTGCTGGTCCGTTTTGTGACTCGACATTGCTGACGGTTGGTTGTCGATGCCCGGGTACTCTTACGGCTTGCATGAGGGGAATTTCTTTCCCCAAAATCATTAGTGTGTTATTCATCAATTTCAAGACGCATTTCTGTACAGAGAGGAAATCGACGCCCAGGATGACGTCCCATGGAAGTTCGGGCGTGACCACCATCGGGTGCTGTAGGGTTTCTCCGGCAATCTTCAGGACGATGTTGGCGCTTCCTGTTGCGTTAATGCGCGTCCCGTTCACCGCGTATATTGTCGTTCTTATTTTCGTGGTAGGGAGACTAGGACACAGACGTGGGGAGACAAGACTTAACGAAGCTCCCGAGTCAATCAAGGCGGAACAATGTTTGCCGTTAATAACTACTGGCAAAAGGGGTGTCGTGAAAATGGGGTTGGAAACAGTAGCAACACAGAGTAGGATTGGTCAACTTACATTTTGGGTAAGCCTGTGGCCGATGCGGATTGTCGGAACGCCACGGTCGTCTGGGTGCCTCGTCTTGCCATTGTGGTGGGGCATACCTCTGCGTGGAGTATGATGCAGCCCCTCGAGTATGACGCATCTCATTTCGGTTGGGCCATTCGCGGTCTCTCGTGGATACGTCCCTTTCGGTCCCGTTTCCCAGTTGAAACGCACGCCGAACGGCCTCAGTCAGAGTTTAAAGGGCGCCTTTGGAGATCAACTTTTGCGTTTTTGTTCCGTAGCCCGGTGACGAAGCGTTCCAGAGCAAATTTTTCGCGGAATTTGGTTGGGCGATGGGGGAAAGCGGAAGCTACCAGGGATCTAAGTTCGTTGGCATATTCGCGTACTCCTTCGTTGGGT